GCCCACTTCCCACACACCCATGTCCCTACCCTTCTCCCACAATCCCCTCTCCCATCCCGAAAACAATCGCTTACCACTCTTTGTTACGTTTGGTTTTTTCTCAAACAGTACCCTTGTGTTTGATTTTCTAGGGGTTAGGAGACCCGCCGAGTGACGTGAGCTCGGCACGTGTTCGTAAAGCGCCGGTAACCAGCGGAGTTGGTTCCCGTAGTTCCAGTATATTGTCAACGGATGGTGCCGGAACATCAAGTGCTGTTAGCAATGTCGCCTCACCTGTTAGCAGCACCTCGAGGTTAGTATGCCATATCAAAGGCGGATCAATTTCCAGAATAACAAACTGAACTATCCTAATCTCAATCTTAACCCAAAATGTTAATCATTACTGTCGTTCCAATTGAAGTGTTGCTCAAATATTGATTCAATAATACATTACCTCGGGCTGACCAATTCATTTGATCAAGTTCCTCGAGATATTCATACACTTCCTAGTATAATTGTAAACTTCCTGCTGAATAGTTTGAATGCACCAATCACCTTTGTTGTTTGTGCAACTAACCAATCATAAATAGAAAGGAAGTGATCAGAAATGATCAAATACTTGGAATTGGCTCTTTCACAGGAAGTGTATGAATATCTCGAGGAACTTGATCAAATGAATTGGTCAGCCCGAGGTAATGTATTGAATCAATATTTGAGCAACACTTCAATTGGAACGACAGTAAAGGGCATATGACTCGAAAATTGACGGTGTTATTTTTTAGTCTAATTTGAAAGATTATTGAAAACTGTAGAGTAACTTCTTTGATAGATTTTTGTTTTCTTGCTTCGTTTTGGAGATATTTCATTTTGTATGATATGCAAAGGACCAACTTCCTACGTCACATATGCATAATGATTTAGCCCTAAAAGCTGTATATCTTTAATATGACTAAACGCAATCACTAGAAAACTTACATGGGTGTTGTTGTGGACAAATCTCGTGCTCATCATTCGTTTTGAGCGAATTTATTTGATAGCAACAAAATTATATAACATTTTAAAGTTAATATAGGTTAATAATCTTAAATGGAATGGGCATATTGCCATGATTGTTAAAAAGGCCTCCAAGCGTTTTCATATTCTTAGAGTACTTAAACGGAGTGGAATCTCACCTCATGAACTGATCCTTATTTACTATATGCTCTCATTCGCTCCGTACTAGAGTACTGCTGCATTGTATGGCATAACAATCTACCAGTTTATCTGGCGGGCTCAATTGAACGAGTTCAGAAAAGAGCACTGAATATAATCCTCCCTGGCAGGTCTTACCGTGAAGCTTTGAGTCAGCTCCATTGTTCTCGCCTAGATGAGAGACGCGATGCTTTGTGTGAAAGAACGATTAAAAAGATAACTGATGGCAACCGCCTGTTTTATCTCTTACCTCAGACTAGAGAAAACGTGAACTACGATTTACGTAACGCTAACAATTGGTCATTGTTCAAATGTAGAACTGATCGTTTTCAGAAAAGTTTTTTCCCAAGTATGATTCGAGTTTTAAATGTGTCATCATGACACTAGTTTTTGAATATCTAAACTATTAATACTTTCCTCACACCTAAATTTTTAAATTGTAAATGTAGTATTAGACCTGTTGTATCTTTAGTTATGTAATTATTGTAAGCACATTGTAATTCAATTTTTTGTGATAGTGTGCCATTAAAAAAAAACGCATATAAAAGTCATTATGCATATGTGACGTAGGAAGTTGGTCCTTTGCATATCATACAAAATGAAATATCTTCAAAACGAAGCAAGAAAACAAAAATCTGTCAAAGAAGTTACTCTACAGTTCGTCAATTTTTTAGTCATATGCCCTTTAATCTTAAGCCTTGTTCACACTAGCAATTTTGTCGGTGATTTTGTGTTTCTGACGGATGGAAATGAGTGAACTCGCACACAACAGTATAGAGTCGTTTTTCAGAAGTAAACAATTCCGAGTCTTTTGCATCTCATTCATTCGATCACATTTGCCAGGAGGAGAAAAATCGCCGACAGAATTTGACATCTTGTTGGATAGTAAACTGGTGTTGTTGTGTTGAAATAATATTCAACTTTGCTTTAATTTTGTTAGGGAAAGCTCGAGGAGGCGCACAAGACGCGTTTCTCACGATGCTACATCTCCACAGGTAAGCGCTATAGATTACTGTTGTGTGGTGTGCTTTGGACCGTTGCATAACTATTCCATGTGGCTTGCACAAGGGTAACATCGTGCCCCAGCTATGCAGTAGTGATGATTTGAGTATCAAGGCTATTTTCCCTCCTTAAATGCGGGTAGAGGGATGGGAAAAGAGGGCCTGACACACATCTCTGTGTGGCCCCAAATCCTATTGCTAATTCGGTAATATACATATTATATTTAGCAATTATATTACAACTATAATTATATTGTTGTTATGTGAAATGGACATTTCCTTTGGGACATCTTGATTGGATATACTATATGGCTAGGGTCACACTGTACCGGATAGAAAACACCTCCTATCCGTACCTTTTTAAGAACAATACTTTCAGCGGAATTATTGCAACTGGGAGATGTTGTTTCGCTCAGCTTCCGAAAGTTGTAGCTACATTTCGTATCGGATAGGTGGTTTTTCACGGTATGGTGTAAACATAGCCTAAATATGAACTTTACTTTGTGACTATATTAATTCCCATCTCCACAAATTCTCGTCGGAAAAAATGTTGAAATTGAAAATTTTCAACTTTTAACAATGATATTTTCGGAAAATTTCTGTCCGTGGAATTTTTTCTTGAGTGGAAAATTTCCATGTTCTTTTATTTATCGTACCAAAATCTTTCTTTACAGGATCAAGAAGACGTGAGCAACCTCGTTGAACAACTCTCTAGTAAAGATTGGCAAGAGAGAATGCATGCAATTGATACGATGGCAGAGATGATTGAAACACGCTTGCCTTTGTTTACGTCAAATATTGTCAAGGTACAAACTACTTAGCTTTGTGTTTTTTTTAGCATTTCAATTGGTCATTTTTAATCAAAACTGTTATTTATAAAGCCCATTTCCACTCAGGAAAATTTTCCACGAAAAGAAAATTTTGTAAAATGTGATTGGCCGACACAAATTTTTCGTCGGAAACTTTCAACTTCAAAACCATGATTTTTTGAAGATTTTCTGTTCGTGGAAATGTTTCGTGAGTGGAAATAGACCTATACATGCAATCATGGTCATGTTTGTTTTTTGTAGATAATGGATGGCTTTTCTCCCCGTCTCATCGACAACAATAGCAAGGTATTTATTATTCGCTGATTTTTCATTGGAAAATAGTTCCTTGGCTGAATTGTCATGGGTTACTGTACTTCTACCACATGATGATGTAAATTAATTTGTTGGTATATAAAATATACAATATAAGTTGTGTTTTTGTTTGCAAATTATCAGATTGGACCACATGTATCCATTGAGCACCCCCCGACTGACTTTGTGAACCAAAATACAATTGGTTAGGTTCATCATTGCCATTGGTTTAAACCAAGATTTTGAGATAAACCAACTTGTATTAAATGCAGTACATAATGATCACACAATCATGCACATCAAAACTAAGTTCTTGTAGTTTTCCTTTGCACAGTTACATATAGGCATTGTTATTATATATCTACTGTAGTCTTTAATCTCGAAGGATACATGTTTCAAAAGTACAATAAACCGTGCAGGGGGATGGAACTGAGTTGCTAAATATAGGTTGAAAAGCCTGCGTGTATAATATATATTTTTTGAGACTATGAGATTAAATGAAACCTTAAATTTAGGGGCTGTTTATATGGTCCCGCTTACCTGGGATTCAATGAAGTGTGAAGTATTTTGAGTAATTGAAATAAGTCGCACTTCAAGATGTAACAAAATTGCTTGTTACAAATTGGATATAAAATTCCATGTTTTAGACATAAAACAAATGTTGTCGAATGCTATCAATCGTCTTCTTCCACTACATAACTTCTATCGCGTTCCTAATTTCGTTTAAACAATATTTAAAGTTATCTAACTTGTGTTTAGGACTGAAAAACGTATTTCAATTGCTCAAAATACTTCACACTTCATTAATTTGAATCCCGGGTAAGCGGGACCATGTATAAACAGCCCCTAATAGCAACTCATTTCGTTGTTTCTTAGGTGAACCTACATGCACTGCAATGCCTTCATCGTGTCATTCCAACATTACGAGAACCTCTTAAAGGTTGTATCACATCTATTCTCCCGACTGTCGCGAAGAACCTTGCTTCAAAGAACAGTAATATTGGCAATATGGCCGAGAATGTCTTGGATAGCTTTATTAAACATCTTGGTAAGTATTATTAACAGGGGTGAAAAATATTTTACTTTCTGGAACCGCAAAAGAACATTGAAAAGTTTCTGCAAATAATCAAGTAAATCCACACTCGGACACTGTAACTGTGTGGCACTACTGTCAAACTGAATGTCATGCTCTATTTTAACAGAAAAAGAATTAATTTCAGTTCACTGACAATCTTCATAATACTTTTAGGAATATGACTAAAACTAATATAGATAACATACATCAGGCTGTCTTTGGCATAACTATTCAACTTGGATGGTTATGCCGTTGACTGTCTTCGGCATAACCACTCAACTTGGATGGTTATGCCGTTGAATATCTTCGGCATAACCATTCAACTTGGTTATGTGTGCATGACACTAACAAGTTGTCAAACTGAATGTCATGCAATCTTCATAATACTTTTAGGAATGTGACATAAATCTTCGGCATAACCATTCAACTTAAATGGTATGCTGTTGAATGTCTTCGGCATAACCATACAACTTGGATGGTTATGCCGTTGACTGTCTTCGGCATAACCATTCAACCTAATTCAAAAAGTTAATCATAACGCTACATTTCGGTACGATACGATTGGCGTGAAAAACTGCATGGCCTAAGACTCATACCAGCATTATGTCAAGTCTCAAAAAATTACTTTCGATAATACACTCGGAAAAAGCTGTGATTTTCATGTCCAGAAACGGCCTGCATATACCTGAATAAAGCATTAGCAGAAAGCCAATGGACTATAGATTTAAAATATGAATTGTTTAGATTCCCGCAAATTCTTGCTTCTTCTCTACAGGGCCTGAAACGGAATAGAACGCGCTCCTAAGACTCATACCAGCATTATGTCAAGTCTCAAAATTATTTTCGATAATACCGACTAGGAAAAACCTGTGATGTCCAGAAACGGTCTGCATATAGAGAATAACCGCGGAGCCCCCAAAAGCGCGGGGCCCCCAAAAGCGCGGGGCCCGTGGCATATGACACTTCTGCCATATGGTTAATCTGGCACTGCCCGCTTTGCATTTGGTAGAGTGGATCGATATCGCAAATACCGAATACCGATATACCGCCATCAGAATACCGGTAAATACCGGTATTTTTAACGTGTTTTTTTTAAGCCAAACTGAACTGCTGACCGTCGAGAAAAATCAAGTTTTGACAAAATATTAGTGTGGCACATACTGTTATTAGTGCAAATGTCACAAGATTCGCATTATCAAGCTATGTTAACGGCGCCAAGCGGCAATTATTAGTAGGCCGTCGATTGGGCGTCGAAGTGTTGAATCATTCAGTACTACAAGGTGATGTAAATCTAATTAACTTTGCTTTCTAAACGTGATTGTAAGCAAGTTTGACTTGAAATAGCGTTTCAATTCGGTATTAGGCAGCAAAATACAAAAATGTCGGTATATCGGTATTTTTAAATTGTGAATATCGCCAATACCGGTATCTAAACAAATACCGGATATATCCGGTATATCGATCCACTCTACATTTGAGCATAATTTTCCAAAGGCAAAGCTTGTTTTTACTCAGTCAAAAGCATTTGTTATAATAGGTTGTGCCATTTCTCTTTCGCTTTGTTTTGTTTATGAAAATGTGAATTCCATTTCTAGATAATGCACGTCTTCTTCAACCTCTTTGTCAGTTTATTCTGCTCGCTCCTGGCGGAGTGCAAAACAGACCTTCCGCTGTAAAGAAGTTATTAAGTAAGTACTTATCATATGGCTGTCTTATTATTATACGTTTCTCGTTGTTGTAGATTATCTTATATAACACCTCATTACATTTGGTCATTTAATTATCGCATATGATCACATGATAATATAATATTCTAATATTATATTGTTCAGTGGACTGGAATGTTTTAGAATGGGAAGTGCTACACGGGAGACTCTTACTGCCATGAACAAACCAACTTCGAAGCAGCTGCTGTAAATCTAATATTATAATATAATATATTACGCATTTCGGCATTTGTATGATACCACCTGCATCATCACTTCTAGCTCTATACCAACTCGAACTGGTTGTAGTTTGTTAAGTAATTCAAAATTGATTCTATGTAATTGTATTATCTTTAGTAGAACTTGTACGGATTTACTAAATTGTTCAATAGGAGTTTCAACTAGGTTTTAGCTATCATTAAATTAGGGACGGACCATTAGAAAAGTGATGA